TTAAAAGAAAATGCATATTCCAAACGCGGTAGAAAGTGGGCACCTCCAGGGGCTGGAGACATATGGGGGTGGGGGGCGAGGGTGGAACCCGCACCGCATCCTGCAGTAAGACTTTTGCAACAACCGGGTTCGCTCTCCCCCGGCTAGGGATCTGCTTTGGTGAGGCCCAGCTAATAGAGCTAGCAGGTAAACAGGGTAAAGAAGGTTGTAAAATAAACATACTTTTTAAAATGAAAAATCAAAATGATCTAGAGATACTCGCAGTTGAAAATCTACAGCTGTCATTTAGTGCCAAAGGTGACTGCTGTCCCGGAGCAGGGGTCAAAACTAGCGGGTCTGGGTGGGTGAAATAGAAATGCACTGCTGCTTCTGATAGAAAGATCCATTTTGCAGAGGGCATGAGGGGGGTGACATCTTGTTGGTTTAGAGATGATTTACGCACTCGTGTTGTAAAATCTAAAATGACGCCCCTGGGAAGAGGAAGGAAGGAGAGCGGACTGGTTGGTGTGACACATCGCTACCTGCCTGAGGCCCCACACTCCGATGGAGTGCACCAGTATAAGGTCGGGAAACAAAACGCAAGATCGCAGGGCATCCAAGGCACGGAGAAAGGCTCCGAGCCGCGGAAAGGGTTTCACCGGCGAAATACACGGCGGGGACGGTGACCCATGGTCTGCAGAGCTGGAGATCTGCAGCCCCGGGGGCACTGGCAGCCTGGCGCCTTGGACTTTACTGGCCCATTTCCCTGACACCTCAAACTCCAAGTCTTCTGCCTGTGGCCCGAAAGCGGGCGAGAGTCACTGAACTATCCATTCATCCAACAGTTTAAGAGGAGGACACTCAGCCCCCTGCCCCTGCATGCAAAATTAACATTCACCACCGGCCTTCGCATTCGGCTTAGAGGGCTCAGTGACCGCCGTTGATTCTGGGTTTCACCTTCCTCCCCTCTAAACAGAAAAATTTCCTGGCTACCCTAAAGACGATCTATTTCATTGGCTCCCCTCTTGAATTAATTGAGAGCAGAATTCAAATTCAGAGCGTCAGCACCGGAGGTCCCAGGGTGGTGCCGCTTAAGACATTTCGGGCGCCATAACTATCGCGAATGCTGAGACACAGGGGGAACTGATATTATTTTGATACGAATTCAACCGGGGAGCGCCCCAGAAAATGTTCCCTCTCTCCTGGGCGTTCCTCGGGCGAGGAGGAGTTGGGGAAGCTGGGCCCGCTGGAGTGCGGCTGGTGGATTGCGAGGGTAGGCCTTCGCGCCGCGTTTGCACCTCTCCCTTTGTGACAAATCGATTTCCCGCGCCGCTGTGGTACATTTGCATCCCGCCAGGCCCGGGGCCCAGCTGCGCCCGGTACACACTTAGCGGCGGCTTGTGAGTGTGTGCGTGTGCGCGCGCGCGTGTCTAATTGACTTTCCGTCTACCTTTTTATGACTACATGTGTTTCCAACAAAAGGTCCTATTAGGACAATCTGGTTTCACTAATTTAGGGGTTGGGAACGTGGAAGGTAGGCGCTTTTTTTTTTTTTTTAACAGTTTGCAGAAGTTGAGATTAAGAAACAAAAGCGAGATGAACTGTCCTTCTAGGGGTAGGTCTGCGTCTTTTTATGACCGGTTCCTCTTTCCTCTCCCTGGTACCCCTGTTCTGCCATCACCCCCATTCACACACCGAACTTCCACCTTCACCACTGGATTCCTAGCGGTGTTAAAGAGCCCAGAAGTTATGAGAAGTATACTGGGTCAGGAGAATCAGCTAAAAGGGAAAATAAATCCTTCTATTGAAAGAAAAATAGAATGAATCTCAACATCAGGGGTGGAGCTGGGATGCTGATGGGGAGTGGGGTAGTTCAGGAGGAAGCACTCACTTTGGGCCCAGCTCAGTTCCTCTTCGCTACACTGGGACCACATTGTAATTTAAATTTTTGCAAAATTTAAGAAGCTAATATTGAAAGAGTAAGTTGAGGGCTGTTTGCTAATTTCCTCCAAACAGAAAGTTTAGAAAGGACAGGGATAAGAACCGTTTCTGTAAGCTGGGAAAGTCAAAGTTATCTTTTCATTGTTCTCCATCTCTCCAATGGAAATTATCTTTTTCCACTCTGGAGGAGTCTCTCAGCTGGCTGTAAGAAACACCGGGCTCCTGATGCAATTTTTCAATCCCTGTGACTCCCAGTGTGCCTTGAAGCCAGGACTTCTGCTCTAGCACTCTTCTGCCCAGAGACTCCCCTCTCCTCTGTTTCACAGACCCATCCTCAGGTCCACTGCAGGCTGGAGGACCAGTTCAACCCCACAGGTCTTGATTTCCAAGCAGCTTACAACTTCCTCTGCAACTCCTGGTGGGAGCCTGAGAACTAAGGGACAGTAACTCCACCATCATCCTTAGACTCTCGCATTATCATTTCCAAGGAGAGGAAGGAGGTGAGGAAAAGCAGCAAACTATTTGTTAGCATAGCCCCAAGGAGAGGAAGGAGGTAAGGAAAAGCAACAAACTATTTGTTAGCATAGCCCCAAACCCAGGTCTCTGGAAATAAGGCCTTCCACATATATATATTTTCTCAGCCACTTTCTCATCTCCTTGCTCTGCATTCTGTAACTTCCTTCCCAAATTATTGACCATCCTCTGAATAAATCCTCTCCCTGGCTGGCCTCTGGAGTCTATTCTTTTCTGGGTCCTCTCCCCCAAGACCTCTTCACTCTTCATATGTAGGGGATAGGCTGTAGTATCTCCAGGGTAGATTCCCATAGTTTTGTACCCTTCTCCCAGAATAAATGGTCCCAACTGTGCCCACAACCCTAAAATGTCCCAGCAAATGCCACATGTGTGGTGTGGCCTTGGTGGCTCCAGGAGCCATTCACCAATCCCAGGCAGTCTCCCAGCCATCTCCTTTGACTTACAAATCATTCCTGGGTATTGTAGCCAGCTTTTACACCTAGCTTCCCTAGGTACCTACTAGAGTACCATAACAAACCCAGAGCTCCCTTCTCTTGGCATCCACTCAAAGAAGCCAAAACACAGGTACCTTCTGCATCCCTGCAGAATCTGATGTTCACCCGTGGCCTTGGCCCTGGGCTTGCAGAGGCCAGGGCCTTGGTCCTGCATTTCCCATCCTCCTGCCTTCTCTTGGGGCAAAGCAACAGTGACTTTTCTCTCCTGCTCCACCCTGGTCTACGCAGCAGTTTCTTTGCAGTCCTGTTTACTGTTGGGGGTCCAGCCTTCAGACCTCTGACAGTGTAAATGTTGTAATTAATAATTAGCCATTGCAGAGAGTAAGAATATTAGAATAAGAGCTGTGAGATTCCAACTACTATTCTTCTAGTGTTTACATGTTTTTTACATTTTCCCTGGTAAATGTTTTAAAATAATCATAGTATTTCACAGTGCATTTTGTTACTGCTAAAAGAGCCTAGCAAACACATTGGTCCTGCTGCTGGCACTGCAAGCAGGGGCAGAAAATCCAAAGCTGCAAACCCCCCATCTCCCACCCCATTCCCCCTCAAAAAAAAAATTAAATTAAAATAACCTGTGGCAGCTCCTAGCCCTTACTCTGGATATTGACTCTTCATTCCTCAAAGTTGGCTGCCTTTCTTTAATTAAGGGCCTGGCAAATCTCCTTTGCCAGTCAGTCCCTGAGGCCCTCTGCATAAAGTAAGTGGGCATTGGGTAGATTGGTCCCAGGTCACTCCTGGCGAAAATCACCAAGGGGCTTCCAGGCCTAAGCTAAAAAAGCAGGGTAAGAGTGGTACCCTGACCCCAGAGAAGGCCTCTCCCTTGGTACCTACTTCCACTGAGTCCAACTGTTTCTGAGTCCAGTTTGCTTTACATGTCTATTTTCTGAAAGTCAGAGATGGATAATGTTTGTGAGAATCTTAGAATAGTAGCAGGCACCCACAGGTTCCAAACTTCAAAAAACAGCTATTAGCAAATAATGGTGTGGAAATGAATCATTTCAGAACTTCCAGCCCCTTCTGACTGGCAAGATGGAGGACAGAGGTAGTATCTGAGCATATCTCGGCCTATGTCACCTGGAATGAGCCAAGTGACAGGTCTGTTACAGACTCAGGGAGGATGGAATACACTTGCAGTTACGTTTTAGAGACAAAGCTAATGCCAGGCGAGCTTTTCATGGTGGTGGGGAGGGGGGGCCATATCAGTCGGTGAGGATGGGGACGGGCACTTAAGCGTAGGCTTTTCTGGAGGGTTAGAGGCCAACAGATAGAGCTACTCAAACGTGACACCAGCTTCAGCAATGAAGCCCGCGATTCCTGGTGTCTCCCTCTTGTGCGGAATCATTCCGGACGGGGATCTCAGATTTACTTCTAAAGCGCATTCCCTTTGCTTCGCTTGACTTTACCCAAATCAACCGGATTTCTAAGTCTCAAACCCATCAGCAGGTGGAGGCGAAAGAAGGGGACAGAGAGCAGCCGGAGGGACTGAGGGCGGGCGTACCCGCGCTGCTCGCGGCTTGCCAGGCCTTGGGTGCCCGCTCTGGGTGGGCAGCCTGCGCAGCGGCAGTGGGGCTCCTGCGCACCGGGCACTCCCACCTACCCGGGAGAAGCCTTCCCGACCCCACTCAGCAGCTTAACCCGCTGCTGTGCTCAGACCGAGCTGGCTTTCCAGGCTGCGCCCCAGCAGGACCCTTCCCGAGCCCAGTCCGTTCGCCCCGCCTGCCGGATGTCGTGGCAGCGGCGCTCGCCCGGGACTGAGGGCTTAAGGAAGTCCCTGGCGGTCAGAGTCCCTGCCCCAGACCGCAAGGCCTCCGAGCGTTCCCGGCCACGGAGCCTTTCCCCGACTGCCTCGGCTACGCCCTCCGCGGAGCCTCTTTTCCTCGCCCCTTGCGCCCTATATGCTGACCGGCCATTTCTCTGGCGGCTGCCACCACCTCTCCTAGAAAACCCCGACCTCCTTCCCCGGGTCATGGGCGCGCTCCCGCCTCCCTACCTGGGCCTCCGCCCTCGATCCCCGGCACACACTTCCCTGGGCTCGCGCCCCTCACTCACTGTCCTGCTGCGGGGTGTCGCTGCCACTGGTGAGTCCCGGCGACTCCAGCAGGCTCCTGCCCGCCTCGCCCACGCTTTCGTCCGCCTGGGCTGCGACCATGTCCCCGGCTTCCTCCAGGTCTAGCAGGTGACTGACGGAGAAGTTCTTTTTCGCCTGCAGGGTGTCGAGGTTGCCCGGGCTGTCCAAGCGGCCTCCCAGCGCCGGCTGCCGCTCCAGAACGTGCCCGTAGCTGGAGGTCATGGTCTCCCCCTCCAATCCCACCCACCCCCCTCTTCCCGCTCGAATCAACACCAAACGCTGTGGGCGAGAGGGGGGAGAGGAGCCGAGTGGGGAAGAAAGAGGGGGGAGTGGAGAGAGAGAGAGAGAGAGAGAGAGAGAGAGAGAGAGAGAGAGAGAGAGAGGGGGAGAGAGAAAGGATAGGAAGGCCAAAAGAAAAAAAGGAAAAGAGGGGGGGGGACCCCTTTCAGCAGAGCAGAGCGTTCTGCACCCGCAGCCTCCTGCAGCCTTAGTTGCTTTCCTGAAGCCAAGTCCGGCGCGATCCAAAGAGATAATCCACACCAAAAAATAAAATTTAAAAAGTTACCCTATGTTTAAGTCAGGAGTAAAAAAAAAAAAAATCCCTTCCAACTCTCAAAAAGCATCCACACGCACACACTAAAAATAATAATAAGGGGGAGAGAGGAAAGGGGAGGCCAGCAGGGCGGGGGAGTTAGGCAAACAGAAGAAGAGAGAAAAAGGGGTGGGAGAGAAGTATCAAAGTGGGTTAAAAAAAAAAAAAAGGTTAAAGGAGTTATTCCCCGGCAAGAGTTCAAGCACCAACAGAAGAAGGCTTGTTCCAGCTTTAAAACATCTTCAAGCAAACGTGTTCCCCCCTCTCTGCACTCCTGTGGATTCTCAGGAGTGACTAAAGTTTCAGGAGGAGAGGGTGATGTCTTGCAGATGTATTAGCGAGCAGGATTCTCACTTTTCGTAAGGAGTAAAAAAAAAAAAATACAATAAAAAATAGGGCTTCAAGAGTAGGAAGGAGGGTGGCGTGGGTCCCCCCTTTCTCCTCTCTCTCTCTCTCTCTCTCTCTCTCTCTCTCTCTCTCTCTCTCTCTCTCCCTCTTCTTGCTGAGCGCCTTTTTCCTTCTCAGTTGGATCAAGAAGCTCTCTGGCACTTCAAAAGGCACAAACTGGCATGCAGAGGAGGCTTTGTAGGGAATACAAGAAAATTGGAGACCCCTGGGAGGGCAGATCTCGACTTAATAGGAGCCTGTAATTACGTGGCAAAGCCTTTGTGCGCGCCTGACGTTTTACAGACCCCCTTTCTCCATCACAATCTCCTTCTTCCTCCTTTCCCTCTGACCAAAAAAACAGTCTGATTAAGAAAACCCCCTTTGCCAACATCAGAGCCAGAGAGAAAGGAGAGGGAAGGAGCAAGAGAGAGAGAGGGAGGGAGGAGGGAGAGAAGAGGGAGGGAAGGGAATGAGAGAGCCCCTTTGGATTTATAAAGTAAGGTCTAATTATCATTCCCCTGCAATAGTATCACGGGGAGAGAAGACAAACTGAAACCCACAGTCACTTCAAACGGGCTGATTATTTTGCTTCGGTATTAACTCCTCCAGATTTGTTTAAGATCCTGTTGGAAAATCTCATTTGCATGTTTTGATAACAACTACAGGGAAACTTGTTGGGAAAAAAAATCCACGACTATCACAAATTTTCTTTTCCTTCTGTTCTTCCCCCTTTTAACGTTTTCTGTTGTTCTAATAGTTGGCGGGAGGGAGGGAAGTTCAGAGAGAGTCAGAACGAGCGAGCGAGAGAGCAAGCATATTAGTCTGCTCAGTAGAGACAGCCTATTAAAAATGTAATAAAATAACAAGAGCGATAATAATGGGAGGCTCTCCCATGCTTTTCCTGCGCACCGAATACAGATCCGGGACTAGAAGGCACCAAATCGATTCGTGGTTATCCCTGCGGTTAGGAATCTCGGGGCCAAAGGCAATAGAAAATTTAAAGATTTATTTAGTTGAAGGAAAGGACTCTAGAAGTATGTCAACCGTCCCCTCAATCCTGCCATTTTTGAAAACTTTTTGGTATGCCGAGATCGCGTCCTCTTGCGACGACACTAAGCCCAGAGGGTCCCACTGCCCAAATTCGGAGCTGACAGGAGCACGTCCGGGGCGAGCTGTACCGTTAGGCTACAGCGCTGCTCTGCGTCCGGCCAGGGTGCGGTCGGGGTTAGAGAGCAGGACCAAGGCACCCCCACCACGAAGGCACCTCCGCGGCCACGCACAAAGCTCTGTCGTCGTCTGCTGAGCCCTGAGAGAGGACAGAGAGGTGCTGAGCAGTTTTTTTTTTTTTTTTTTCATGACCTGAATTTGGTAACAGCTTTAATAGTCTCATTAGAAATGAGTTACTATATGACTAGTAAGTGAAATATTGCATGCTTATTTATAGCGTTTCATGTTCTTTAACTACACACACACACACACACACACACACACACACTCCTTACTCCCTTGATTGCTAGATTTTTTTCCCCTCCTATAGCCGAGAGGGTCGATTTAAGAGAAAGAAGAGTCCGAGTGTGTGTAAATGGTTTCTGGGCTCCAAACAGCATAGTTAGCCCAGAACTTCCAGCCCTGATCTGGGAAAAGAACATTTGATGCCATCAAAGGGCTGCAGATTGAAACCAGATGTGCTTGCCTCGGTTCTTTCCATGCATTTAATTAAGGAGCCAGGATGGAGGAGACTTTTTCATCATTAGTCCACCCTCTCCCCCTCCTCCTTCCACTCCCTCCCTCTCCCTGGGGGCCGCCTGTACCCCCGACCGGGAGCCCAGAGCCCCGCCAGCGCCGCGCAGTGCGCCGCGCAGGTCGCTCAGTCTCGGCAGAACCCGCTCTAGGCGATAAACATCTGTTGGCGTCCGGGCACCGCCAGTAGGACGCGCGTGGGGATGGGCCGGCGCAGAGCCGGGGCGCGCGTGCGTGTCCGGGTTGCCTTCTGCCGAGACTGCCAGCTCCGCCGCCTCCGAGAGAAGCCCTTTGCCGCGCGAGCTTCTGCCATCCACTGGGGTGGCAGCTACTGAACCTAGCGAAGGCACCTCGCGCCCTGCCCTGTGTCCTCCGGGGAAAGGCAGAGGGGCCCTTCTCTCTCCCCCACCACGCCGCGGCGGTTTGTCCCCACGTCCCACGGCTAATGGGCCTTTCCGAGACCGGTGAAGCAGATTCTCGCTTCTCCCTCCTCTCATATTCTCCACACCCTTTACACAGTTGCATTTCTCTGCGACCCGGCACCAGCCGAACTGCCCTTTCAGACAAAGGTCTGGGTAAGGGGTCGGGACTTCTGGCATCCCGAAACAGGCTGTTTCCACCTAAGACCCAGCGACTTCCGTCAGTTGGGGGCACCTCGCCCTTTGAAGGGAGTTAACTTTGTCCCAGTGTGCAAGCGCATGGCTAGAGACCAAGGAAAAACGGGTCCTAGATGAGCACTTAGAAGCCATGGTCAGACGTCTCCACTTATTTTAGCCACTTTCTTCCAAAGGGATCAGGCGCGTTTTGAAAATCGCCTACTGTTAATACCAACCAATCGTACCAATACCAGCTAGGATGCTAACGGTTTCAACAAAAACATCTGGACATACTTGCTAAACATTTGTCGACTAAATATGTTTATATATGATTTTCTATGCGCAACATTTACCCAAAATGTCTCTCGGGCTGAAAATTCAAATGCAAACCAACTGCGCAAGGCTTCTCCAGCCCTGGCAGAGTAGCTCCAGCCTCAGCTCAAGAAGCCAGAGGCAGGGAACCCTCGCTCTAGCAAAGGGTGTGGCTTTTGAAGACTATGGGGGCACAGAATGTACTCCCAACGCTCTGAGTTGGAATTCAAGGGCAGAGTCTTAGCGTGCTCAGGGAAAGGGACAGGTTTGCAGCCACCCAGGAAGGAAAGGCAGGCGACAGGGTCCCCTCCCAACACTGGGTGTTTTCTGGGCATGCCAGGAAGGTTGCCGGAACTCAAAAGTTTCAAGGGACCCTTCACCACTCAAGAGAGGCTTCTCCTTGCGGACTACCCCCATATGTCTCAGCTATAGGGTCTAAGCTGCAGTGTCCTCCTGCCCCCACATCACCCAGCACTGGGAGTCCGGCAGCCCGGTGGGCTGCATTCCACACATCCGCTGGGAAGCAAATTCTCAAGGCAAGCAACACCCTCAAAATTGTCCCCCGCATCACCTGTTTTTATTTGGGGGGTGAGGTATTTGAGTGTGTGCTTTCTTTTCTTTTTCCTATGAATAATTAAAAATGTATTGGATCTGCACTGATTATGTTTATACACAACATTTGAAATTTGTTGAGATTCTGGATTGTAATTTAAAACTATCAGGACAATTCTACAGGGAAATTCAAAGCAGTACATTTACCCAGTAAGGAACCAAAGGTGCATCAAATGCATTTACAGAATGGCGCCAGGCTGTCACTCTTCCCAGCACTCCCAGCTGCAGGCTGGGGAGATTCCTTCCAAAGCCCAAAGGTCACTGCGCCTATCCTTTCTACTTTCAGGCTTCAGTCAGTGCTCCTTAGAGGGGTGGACCAAAGTTCTCCAGGCTCAGGTTGCACTTACCCAAGAGAGCCAAGTGCCTCCAGAATTCGAGAAGGAACATATGGCAGAAAGATGTCCAGAGAGGAGAAACTGTCTGACAGCACAGGCTCATCTCCCAAGCAGGCAGCAGGCCTGGTCTGGGAACTTGGAAGGCCCTAGAGAAAAGTGGCCTGCCGCTGCTGCCCCTGTAGTTCCTTAATCACTCCTTTGCTTTCCCTATGTAACTTCCTCTTAGGAATAGTTGGAAGGAAAACATTTCTAGCTTAAAATCTTTGAACATGTGTAAGCCTTCCTTCAGATTTAGCTTTGACTTCCACCCATCAATCAATATTTATTAAAGTTTGAAGCCCTGGATGATGTAACTAACCAGAACCCTCTTCCTCAGGACCCTTCCAGCTTCTGAGAGTGGCTTTCCAACCATTCCTTCTGGTCCCACCCCCCCTTTAGAATGATTCCCATTTGGGAATTCCTCTCCAGGTAAGTGGGAGTGAAGCTGGGACTAAGAAGAAGTTGCCAAGAAACCAGACAAAGGTAGGAAGGAGGTTCAATTCACAGCCTTGTGCCTTGGGTGGTCCTACCCAGAGGTTTGGTACTGATTACTGTCCAGGGCTTCCCTGGCACTAGAAGCTGGCAGAAGTCTGCCTCATCTGGCTAACAGAATGCCCCCACCCTCTGCTTCTCTTCTAACTAGAAGCCAGGATCTGCACTCCCTGACATGTTAATAAGCAGACAGGTAATCACATATGACAGGCCACAGGTTACATGACACACAAAGAAGACGGTTTCCCCCCAATACAAACATGCTGTGGGGTGGAAACCCTCTCTTGCTCATGGTTAAGAATCTAGTAAATATTCATTAACAATGAAACAGGAAAGAGTGAAACGCAAGATGGATTCTGCAGGTGCCCATTTTTTAAATGTTTTTGAAGAGGAGACTTTAGGCCCGACTGCTCCTTTGCCCTTCCAATTCTGGTTCTTGTAATCATAAGTGACATTTTAGAAACATTCTTCCTGTTGGAAGAATGGCCAAATGTTTTCCACCCATGCCCATGGCCAAATGTTTTCCACCCATGCCCAACTCCATCCAATAGCCATATCACATTATTTTGAATTTTTTTTTCAATACTGAAAGCAAACAGGAATAATCACATTTCCAAGGAATGAGTGGTAGTTCTATCACAGTATGGTAAGCCCAGCTAATTCAATTGGAACCTAATGCAGTTTCACTGCACCCATCTGCTCGTCTAACCACTGGACACTGGCTTTGTAAACACCATTGGGACAGCGTTAGCTAAAGGCCCCAGTGGCTGCATATTGGCAATGTAGTAAGTATTCCTTAGGCATTATTCCACTAAACACCTCTGCTGTAATAGACAGTGTCAAGCACTCTCTTTTCAAAATTCTCCTCCTGTACCTTATGTCCTTATTTCTTGAACCACTGCCTTTTGGCCTGCCTAGAGTAGATTTTCCCCTTTTAACTACTGATATTCTCCAGAGTTCTGTCATCCTTACTGTCCATCACAATAAATAAGTTGTCTTTTTAGAAGGTCTCATACATTTTCATGGGTTAACTAATGCTTGTTGTCAACATGTCTAAATTTTAAGTCCAAGGGTTGATTACCTATTTACTCTGTTGCCTTGGACAAAATGGAAAAGTTACCACTCTCAATTTACTCATTCAAATAAGACTAATCATGAAACCAACAACATATATTTATGCAAATTAAGTGAAAGTGCATGCAGTCCATTTAACCCAGTGTTTAGCA